ACCCCTGATTATAACAGAATGAGCCTCTTTACTCTAATAGAACATTTCACAATCAATTTCAGTTCTTGCTCATTGTTGTATTGTAATAAGCAACAAGCGTATCGCGATGGAATAACCCAGACTCACTGTTGTTAATGAAGATGCTGTGGGATCTGCCAGCTGTTCTTACACACACGTAATATGAACACATTTCACCTGCCTGCGGTACGAGAGGTACAAAAGTAGAAATGGGTACTGAGTACTTCAAGGTGTTGGATAATGAGTGGAGCGAGTGTGAGCATTAGTGTCGTGTGTGTGTGTGTTTCTGACAGGTACTAATGGCCGTGTCCTTGTACTGTGCCCTCAGGAACACTTTAATTACTATTCAGTGGACGGCGCCCTCGGACATCTGGTGTTCTCTCTAAAGTACGATGTGATCGGTGACCAGGAACACCTCCGTCTAATGCTCAGGTAATGCTCAATAGGCATACACGGTGGGGTACGTCATGGCATTTTTTAAAATCATAATGTTGTTTTATTTGTTTTATACAAATAAAAACTTTGTTTTTTAAATGACACAAAGGAAATAGAAGGATGCTAAAAATTGTTAATGGTTTGTATAAAAAAAAACACTGTCAAAAGAAAACAAAGACCATCAGAATCATGTTATATTTTAAATGTTCACTGATAAATAACAGTGGAGAATATGTCAAACAAAAGAAGTAATGTACAGCACAAAGATTGATTCCAAGATAAATTCCTCTCTTTTCGTAAGGAGACAATGACACGAAGGAATCATCTAATTGCTGTTTTCAGTCTACGCAGTGATTCTGGATAGAAAACTGCCCACAAAACGTTTGACACAAAGGGAAGTGATGATTCCAGTTAAGCAATTGATTAAGAATTATCGACGAAAGTATGACTCAAAGGGATTCTGTGTTCCTTTACCTCACTTTAAAGACAAATGTACAGGTTTGAAGAACGTTGATGTCCAATTTAGTCAACAACTTCACGGCAAAAAAATTGCTTTAGAGACAGTATATGCTATTCTAATCTAATATAGACATGAAGATCTTTATATCAACCTCTGAAGTCACAAATATTGAAACTTTGACAAAATGTCTGGATTTTCAGCATCAACAGGAAATATATGGTCCACGTCGGATCGTCTCTCCCATGTGATGGCTTCTGAGAAATGTTGCATTGCGTTATGTGGCTTTAGACCCCACTGATTGTTTTATGGCTTCATCAGAAACAAGCTGAAAACCCACCATGATGTGATCCCCATTTCCTGTCTGACCGAGTTCCCCAACGTGGTCCAAATGGCCAAGGTGAAAAGAGATGTTTTCTCTTTTTATTACGCAGTGATCAGTCCATTGTGATCAAAACACAGTTTAACATTTCTTCCTCTGCTTTTTTTTTTTTTTAATCCAAGCTCGTCTGTGAAGAGGTCAATGTGGACCGCTTTTCTCCGGTCCTTTATCCAAAAGTAAGATCTGGTTTGGTTTGTATAGTTGCAGCAGGTGGAAACGTCGGTTGCATTTCCACACATCTGATGACTCACAGGATAAGGATGCAATTCTAATAGTCTGCATTACTGCAAAACGAAATACTTTCATTTGGAGCATGCACACTTTTGATTTGTGATTTCAGACGCTTCAGATAAACTTTTACAAGATGAGCATTTACATTGTTAGCAGGAGATATCTCAGGATAAACGAGGCAGGATTACAATTTTTGTTTCATAAGAAATGTGAAACTAAACTTGAATATCCCTTATTTCTCTGTTTTTGTACAGGCTTCGAGACTTATTGCCGCCTTCGATGAGCATGTGATCAGCAACAATTTCAAGTTTGGGGTCATTTATCAAAAGTTTGGACAGGTGAGTTTTGACGTTTGGATGTCAACTAATTTTTGGTCAGATATGGCTTGTTAGATGTGCATGTACCCAATAATTATCCTATTCAGTAAGTGAAGAAATGGGAATGTAGCATAAATTGAAATGTCAGATTTCTCCAAAGAATCACTGTCTTTCTGAGTCCGACACAGTAACTCACTCTTATTTCACGAGGCAATCACAGCTCTTTTGTTTACTGGGATGAGGGAGCGTGGGGGATGGGGAGGTGGGGGCACTTGCCGACGGCACTTGTACTTCTGAGAAGAGACCTCAGTGTGTCAACATCTGCCTGCAGTCGTTTATAAATACATTGTTAAATGACTTGTAAATGAGCCGAGGGCCGTCTCACAGAGGTTTTTGAGGGCCCCACTTCCCTCATCTCCTCCCGCCGGACCTCGTTCCATTCCGGAGGGGGTGTTGATTGGAGGAGGGCTGTATCGTTGAAGGAACCATTGCATTCGGAAACCACCATATTAAATACTCACTGGGCAGCAGGATCTGCACGTCGGGCCGTCGTTTCCTTGTCTGCGTTGAAGCTGCATTACGCTGCCCACGCTTTCAGTAGACGATCTAATATCTATCATAGCCGGCCATTGTTGCACAAGCTTTCTTAAGCCCTCCCCCCGGTGCTACATCCACCTGTTCTGTGATGCAGATGATTCAACCGTATTGAACTGTTGCACATAAAAGGCGTGTTTTGTCACAACGCTCACCTCTTGAGATCTGTTGTCCCTAAACCTCCCAGATATTGTCCCTGCTGCTTGTTTATTTGTAATGCAGACATCAGAGATGGGGACTTGGACTTAGCCTCGAACACACTTGAGACTTGGACTTGCAAAGAAACAGGTGTGAGCACGTCTGTGTCTGAGGGGAAGAGGGAGCCTGAGAATAATTCTGCGACAGATTATTATTCTATGCCTGTAGTGTTGCAGGATTTTCCTGCTACTCTGACTGGAAGAAAAAAAACGCAAAATGTATTTATTTACTTTGAAAGTAAAGCATTACAATAGTGTGTTTTGAAGTTTTATTGCACAGTACTAACATGTGCTGATATGGTAAAAGATAAAGGAGTGATGACACAGCAAATGCTTTGAATACCTCAGATATCAGAAGTGACGGCATGCTGCAGATGACAGAAGGTCCATTACAACCACAAGACACTTGATTTGAGACCTGATTTGCATTCTATGGCTCAAAGATTTGACAATTGACTTGCTCAACTACACAACTTGGATTCTTTGGCTCAACATCTTGAATATTGACCTGGACTCCTGCTCAAAGACTTGAGAATTGTTTTGGAAACTTGAGTATTCGCTAAGACTCTTTTGCTCCAATGTTTTGAGACTTGAAACATCTCTGGAAGACACACAGCAACTCACAGAAATCAGCCCCGGTGCTGCTGCTGAAACCCTTTTGTCGTCCCAGCCTTGATGTTGATGAGATTTGTTCTGCTGCTTTCAGACTTCAGAGGAAGAGCTGTTTGGCAACAGCCACGAGAGTCCTGCCTTTGTAGAATTCCTGGAGTTTCTGGGAGATAAAATCGAGCTGCACAACTTTAAAGGGTAAGGATCAAACCCGGGTGTGTAAAGGCTCTACGTACTCAATCACGCATTTAACAGAATGCCGACAACCGCCACTTACTCCACATGCGGCCCCGGAAATAGAGGCGGTCACGGTGCAGCAGTGATGGCGGAGGACACCTTGTGAGACATGGTTGTGTTTGCTTGCAGTTTCCGCGGAGGGTTAGACGTCACTCACGGGCAGACCGGCACTGAATCCGTCTACTGCAACTACCGTAACAAAGAGGTCATGTTCCATGTGTCCACCAAGCTGCCTTACACGGACGGGGACACCCAGCAGGTAGCGTAACGCGATGCCAGACCAACACAGCTCCCATTGGGGTCACGAGTAGCTGTTGCACGTACCTTCGTGTGGTGCCAAACACTTAACTTACAAGAGGGAGAAAACACCCCACTGGTAGTAAACATGCATCACTTTGAATGTAACGTCTGTAATCGTGAGCATCACGCCCCCCCGCGGGGATTTAAAGCACTGCCGAACCCTCCTCATGTGATTTAGGGTGATTTAACTCTCCCCTGAAGCCATTATCTGGAGACACAGCGCTCCCTGGTGGTGGTTGATACATTCACATGTGTCTAGTTGGAGGACACGGAGGAGGAAGAATGGAGAGCAGTTATTTTTTTAGTCATTATTTATGATGCCTGTATATTTCACAAAGCACGGCTTTGTCGTACAACGAGTACAAAAATGTGTCATAAAACACCGATATCGCAGGCTTACTGTATTTTCTTATCCTAGCTGGGATCAGTCGGCAATGCGCCAAATGGCTTTGTGACGGATGAGTGGGCTTAATTGACAATTAGTCCCACTCAACCTCTCACTCACCTGTGAGTAAGTCATCTGTGGCTGCTGTGTTGCAGTTGCAGAGAAAGAGGCACATAGGAAACGACATTGTGGCCATCTTATTCCAAGAGGAAAACACTCCCTTTGTACCGGACATGATCGCCTCCAACTTCCTCCACGCATACATCGTGGTCCAAGTGGTGAAGCCCTGCTCTGACGACGTTCTCTACAAGGTGAACGGTCTATCTCTACCTGTGCGCTGACTTTGGATCCTGTGATGAAACCTAAACTTCCTCTTAATTGTCAGGTGTCCGTGACCGCTCGGGATGATGTGCCTTTCTTTGGCCCCGCCCTACCCAACCCTGCTGTCTTTAAAAAGGTGAGAGGAAGAACAACCCGAGGCCTTGACTACCGGACCCACCCCTCCTCCCCCCCACTGAGGCAACGCGCTTTCCTCCTCTCGGCCGTTTAGCCGCTGTAGCTCACGACGTGACGTCTCTTTGCTCTCCATCCGCAGAGCCCTGAATTCCATGAATTCCTTTTCACGAAGCTCATCAATGCAGAGTACGCCTGCTACAAAGCTGAGAAATTTGCCAAATTAGAGGTGAGCAGTTGCAAGGATCTTGAACATTTCTGACATTCAGTAGAAATTAACCTTGTTTCATCCCCTCGTTGTGTGTGTGTGTGTGTGTGTGTGTGTGTGTGTGTGTGTGTGTGTAAGGAGCGGACGAGGTCAGCTTTGTTAGAGACCCTTTATGAGGAGCTGCACGTCAACAGCCAGGCCATGATGGGTGTTGGAGGAGACGACGACAAACTGGAAAACGGGAGCGCGGGAGGAGGGGGCTTCTTTGAGTCCTTCAAGGTAACTGCAGAGGAGGTCCGGCCCGGTGACAGCTTCACTTTATACAAAAGTCTGCTTCTAACGAATAAGCCGAAAAGTTCAATTCTGCATTTTTGTTTGCTAACACCGAGATAGGAACGCTGTTATTGTGTTGACAGATATTTTAAATCAATATTACATTTTTATCTCTGTTAAGGAAGTATTTTCACAAATTTGGGAATTAC